TCATACTAATACTACCACAACAGGAGTGAAAAGGTGGTTAAAGTACATTCTTCCACTCTTTATCACAAGATAAAAACCCAAGAGAATCCAACGTGACTATCAAAAGTCAAGCTCAAAACCAAAGTAACATCCAAAAGACAGATTTTCTTTAATGTAATCATTTAAACTGGGGAACATATTGCCATTTCTTTTGTGGACACTTGCAGTCTCATCTGTGTAGTGCATAAACTAAATTGGGGAAAAGCAAATCAATCCATGAAGTGAATAAACACAGAGATACCACCTGTGAGATAGGAAATCTTTAAGCCATATTATCTGTGGGAGATGAACAAGTATATCAAGGAAGCATCACTGTGCATACTTATGCTTTCAAAGGTATTCTGTACCAGCCTAGCTGAGATGAGACACTGGCTGAATGAGCATCTGGTCTGACCTAGTGTGATCGTCTGTCATGTTTGTCCTTAGAGAAGTGTCACTGAGCTCAGCATCTCTTACAAATCTATGACATTTCTGGAACATTATGATATTACTTTCATTTGGCACGAGTAAGAAATCCACATAACCCAAATCACCTATGCAACTCACCTGGAAGCACAATCTTGACAAGCCCTCTGACATACTGTTCAAGAATGGAACCGTTTCATGAAAGCTCCCCTTGAATAATTACATGACTAAGTCATTCAGGAAGCTTCCACTCCAAAATCCTAAACTGCAATGCAGCTTAAACTATTAATAACAGGACCATCCCAGCCCTACATATCATTTTAATCTGATGAACTTCTATTTTATTAAGACACTGAGGCTCTTTTAATGAATGTAAGAAGAAAAATAAAAGGTATAATTTGGTCCAGGCAGCCCTGGGCACCCTCAACACATCAAAAGTTGGACTGAGGTAAGCACAGCATGTTTTATAGTTGTCAGAGATGCCTTCAGCAGGACACATAAAACAAGGCATTGCTTGAAAGCTTAAGTGGTGATGGCCAAGTAGGAGTAGCCTGTTCAATGCCAAGACTGAAATGGTTCAGATCTACCTGCCAAACTTTTATAGATCCTTCTGAAACCTTAAAACCTCTCCCAAAGAAATGAGGCCCTAAAATGAGCCATGCTTTTCTTGGAAAACTGTTCAGTCTAACAATGCTTTAAATGAGTCAAACTTCATATTTAAAGTCCCACCCAGTATTCTTTAAAAAAATACTAATATTTAGGGGTAAAAAGTAAAGTAGTCATAGAAAAACTCAAATGTGTTTGTATGTATTTAAATGATAATAACTGAGGGGAATCAATTAATATTGTCATTTCCCAAAATGATTAAAAATGTTGGCCTCAGAAAGCAAGCATGGAACATGACACTAAAGGATGCACTTTAGCAAGAAAGTGTACGAGTTAAGAGATGTACAAGCACTACTACATTGCTACAAATACGTTTTGTAAACCTAATTATAGGTACATCATCATGGAACAAAAAGGCAATAGCCACACCACACCCATTAAACATTTCTACAGCCTGATAACCATTAAACCCTGGAAATGTAATAGGAAAAGGAAAGGGAAACTGCTACAGCTGCAGAAGTGCCTGCGAAAATAAGCAGCTCTATGGGGCTTAAAAACAAAAGATAATAGGAAAAACACTGGACTTGTAAAGTTCAGAGCATTCAGTGAGGTGTCCCTGCCCATGGCAGGGGGGTTGGAACTGGATGATCTTAAGGTCCTTTCCAACCCTAATGATTCTATGATTCTATGATTTAATTACAGATCTGAAGCAGTCTAAGTCTACAGAAGCCTCTTAAAGAACATGAAGTTTGCTTAGCAGAAAAGCCAAAATAGGATTTTAATAAACAGCATAATCTGGATTTCAAAGGGCACTGGATTTAACCTTCTGCTTCTAGGCACAAGGACAGATTTTGTATAATTTTAGATAATGGCTTTGGTCTCAAAACTTCAGAAAATGAGCCTTGTTTGAGGCATAACAAGACAAATGGCTGCTTTAACTTGCAAGTAATGTTTAAAAGGTTTCAGTAATAGAAGCAGTTAGCTAAAGCAAGAAACAGATGAAACTGCAATGACAAAAATATCACCTCCCTTTGTGCCGTGTCATTTTCAATGCACTTCAGACTCTACAGAGAGAGATTGCCAGCACATCTATTATACCATCATATGAACATGCATATTTATCATGAAAGTACAAAACCTCTTCTCAATATCTAACAATGACAGAAAATATACAGAATTAAAAAAATATTTAATTGTTATTCTCTATTCTTCAGTTATACTCCAATCTGATTTTAAAAGGAAAATTTGCACATGGTATTCCATTTCCAGGTGTGGCCAGGTTTTATCCAGTTTTAATAATTTAATTCTAAGAAATGGGAGAAATCATCAGTAGTTTCTTAATCTAAAAGACTACAAGTACCTACTTGATATGCCAATAAGGCAAAACCAACATTGCAGAAAGTAAGTAAAGCTGAATAATCTATGATGCATGCTTACTTATTGTCTCACCTCTTAACCCACCACTTGCACATCCCACTCTTAAGTCTATTAAACAATTACTTTCCAACACAAGTGAATAAATGGTACTTTTGCCTCTCCATCTACTAATTATGGCAAGCCACACCTAAGAGATAAAATGGATTTATTTGCCTCATATATATGAGGTTCATTTAAATAAGGTTCTCCAACACAAGAACAATAATCCTCCTTAAGCAAAGATCGAAACACTTGTCCTGTAATCCTTGCTCAATTGGCTTAAAGATATCCCTTCCAGTAAAACCCTTTGGCTTCAGAAATCTGTATGTCATGTTTCCTGCAGTGGCATATCTCTGCTGTTGCTTTCATCACATGTATGAGGCAGAAAACCTCCCAAGTCTAGCAGCAACCTCCTGGCATGAAGCTGGTGTGATGGAGGAATCAGGCCTGTCCTCCTTTTGTGATGATGATACACAACTTATAGACAGTGCCTTACAGAACCATAATTAGTTTCACACACAGAGTTTAATACTCCCCCTTCTTACTCAGTGCTACCCTAGGCTGTCTTTGACACAAACACTTGTAAATTAGTATGTTTTATAACTCAATAACCAGTGTTCACAAGCTTTACTGTGCAAAAGTAACACCTCTTAACCAGTGGTGTGCTATCTTCAGATAGAGTCATCATGTATTCATTTCTGTCAATATGGGCAGATTTAAAACAAAAAGGTCACTCTGGAACTCTGCTGTAATCATCATACTTAACAGAACTATAAAGCACGTTTATAAAATCCACAGAGAGACTTACTTCAGCGTCACAAACACAAAGGAAAAAATAATCACTTTAATTCCTGGTACAGATTAAATCATGGCAATCAAAATACCAAAGGAACCTCCAGCTCCTTCCACACCACCTGCCATCCATCTGGCAGATGAATCTACAGCAGTCAAGTCTAACTTAAGTGATAGAAAAGTTGGTCTCACTTTCCCCTGTGCATCATATGTGAAGGCAGACAGGGGTGCAGAGGCTGAATACTTAGCACTTGCTGCTTGCTTCACTTTCCTTCGTATTAACTCCATGTATCTGATAGCTCTACCCTTCTGTTGGCCATAATGAATCTTCTCTTCCTTTTTTAATGAATGGCCCTCCTCTGGACTTGCTCCAATAGGTCCATGTCCTTCTTGTACTAGCTTAGTTTATCCCCTTCTATATCCTACTTCATTCTTCCCCCTCCTCCCTCTTCCATCTCCCCTGTCTCTTGAATAATCCTTAAACCATATTCTTTCTTAGGATTTACCTACCCACCAACATGCAGTTTACAGAAATGTTAATACCAACATCCGTGGCAAACAGAGCAGTGTGTTTTGTGATTTCACCATTTACTTAGATGTCATAAATTTCCAGTCTGTAACGAACATCATTAATCCAAAGCTTTTTACGTTATTCCCACTTCCCAAGCTGTAACCAAAGATCCTTGAGCTGTCCTTCCAAGTTGGACAGCATCACACACTTTCCCTTCAAATTCAGTGAGGTAGGACATGGGGAAAATGTACCCATGCAGCACTCAGAGAAGGACTCAAACGCAGTCCTACACACTCCTCCAGCCCTCCCCTCACTGTTGGAAACCTTTTGTTCTACATGATTGATCCTGACTCCATCAGGGCGGATTTAGGCAAATCTCAGCCTCACATGTTGAATTAGCAGCAGACGTATCGCAGACCTTTAAAGTCCACTAGCTCACAAGGATCAAGCACTTCCTGCTCCTGCAAGCAGAGCCTGCTGCAAAGGTAAGCTGGCACACTGAGGCAAACTCTGATTTTGCAGAAACCTGTGGTCTAAGACGTGAGGTAAAGGACTGAGCTCAGCACATAAGTCCATACAGGCAGGCAGGTGAAGTGTTAAATACCAAACAAGTCATAATTAAGGCAGCATTTTGAGCCCTAACACCAAAGAAATACAAGTGTACCTTTGTGTTGCTCACTGGAAACATGGTGGCTACACTGGGAATAAATTAATGTATGCACCATTTGTCTGAAAACCCGTTAAGGAGGTCACTCCACTAGTGAAGCAAAAGTAGCTGGGGAGTAATTCAGTGCTTCAGTGGGTGAGGAACAGACAGATGTCTCCATCTGCAGCTAAGAAGGTAAAGTCATACAAGGAGAAAAGTCAGAGGGACCCTGTAGAAAGCCTGTGGGTGCCAGCTGTGTGGGAATCACAGGAGGTTAATCCTTATTGCTCTGTATCTCATGGAGTAAAAGAGGGCACAGAGTTCTCAGGAAGTTTTACCCTAGTTTCTAGTTGCTCATAATCTCCAGCAAGGTTTGGGCAGGACTCCGGCAGGACCACACCTCCCACCTTTACTTTAAGCATCAGTACAGTGCCGAGCACAGCACATCTTGAGTTTGTAAGGTGCTTCACAACTATAGCCTCAAAGAAACCAGTGGAGTCAGAATCACTTAATGACCACTGAGGGCACTAATGGGTTGGATCCTACAATGCTCTAACACACAAACTCATCAGAGATTTGACTTACCTTGACCTTGTAGTACTCCTTGACTTCAGGCTGAATGGAATCAAAATCACCACTGATGTAGTCAGGCAAGAAGCTGAAAGGAAAGCAGTGAGCACTGAAATGAAAAAGTAATCCACCTTTCTACATTTACTATTTATCTTTTCAAGAGCATTAATCTCTGAAGGGAATAGGAGTTAGTTAAAAGTGTGTTAAAACAACAGCTGATATGAGGGGATACAAAATAAGGTAACAGATGAACTGTAAAACTGGTAAACCAGCGACCCTTCTTCGCTGAGGGATCGACACATTGCCTAGATGCCTATACATCTCCCGGGTAAGGCAAGACTTGTATGTGCATGGTTCTGGAAAGACAACTCTCAAGTATCTTTCAAATGTATCATTTAGTCAGCAAAGTATCTGAAAAAAGCATATCTGAGTGCTGCACATTAAGCCTTGGAGGATATCTTCTAACAGAAGATGATGATGATGCTTCTTGGACAGCTGGTATGCCACAGATGTTCCAAAGACTCGTATTTTAGTTGTTACTGATGTCATCTCCTTTCTGCTCTTGTCCTTGGTTATTAACAATATTCACCCCAGAATATGGGAGCCAAATGCTCAGTGATTTTTAAATCATATCTTAGATGTTTAAAATGTGTATGAACCGGATTCAAAATGCTAACCATCATTTGTGTGGTCACATTATTGCAGAGCACATCGAAATAATGCTGGCATATTTATCTCAACTTGCTGTAACCACTTTTTAATTGCAGAATGCGTCAAAATACTTACCATACAAATTCTCACCAAATACATACTGAAAATTCAACTGTGCTCCAGGAAGAACAGCTTAAAAATACAGGTTGGGAAAAAAAGAAAAGAAAACTACACAAAAACCAGCCAACCAACCCCACAGAAATACAGCTTTCCATTTTGCGTAATTCCTGGAGCCAGGACAACAGGCGAAAGTGTTGCCGCTGTTTGAACACACCAGACTGAACCGAGTTTTGAAATCAAGGCTGTGATTTCAGTGTTTTCTAACCATTTAAATACATAGTTCCTCACCTCTGAGGTTACTATGCTTTATGAGGTGTATGGGAGTTCAGCAGCAATCCCATTTACAGCTCAAGCAGATTTACGAGGAATTGGGCAATTGTTGGGGCATATTTTTCTTCCACATGATTTTAGAAGAACGTGGCAGGGTCTACAACACCCCCCACATGAAAACTGGTGCAAACCTGGTGTTCGGCTCTGCTCTAAGATTTCAAGAGACATGCAGTCACCAGCCACCATTTCCTTTGAAAACTGAAAGCTGCTTCCACAGAAGGTGGTAAGTTCAACTGTTGTGAGTTAGCTCATGTGCAGCTGTGGCATTTCTAATTCACTGCTCTCTGTTAGTACTAAGGCTTTATAAAAGGATATGCACTAAACATAATCTCTCCAAAGGTGATGCTCCCGCACTCACAGCAGGGCCAAGGACAGTCCCTTCTGCATCAGGATTTATCGAGGACACACAAACCAGCTAGAAGAAATGCAAACACTTCAATGCTCTTGTTTCATGTGCCCAAGCCTGTTTCATGTGCCCAAGTAGATTTGCTTCTTCAATGTGCAGCTGACCTTTTCAGCATACAAAGCCACCGTGTTTTCAAAATCTAAATTTTAAATTGCTGCATTTTTACCTTTCCACTATTTTCCCAGTGAAATACTCACTGAATACAACAAGCCTAAAGAACTACAGGTATTCTCTTTCCATTTGTTATTTTCCTTTCACTTCTTCCTGATGGGAGCAAAGCCATTAATAGTAAACTCAGTCCAGGCCTTACAGTGGTGGCACCAAATGTGAGCCCTGGAGGCATCCCAGCAGGTTGCCAGGAAGAACAACAGCCAGTTGTCATGGAAAGCCAAGTTGATATGACACACACATCCACTCTGATGAAAAAGCAGATGTCTTTAGGTTGTTTATCTCACTGAAATGTGGTTCATAAATCCAGAAGTGTCTCTGCCACGTTTTTTCTCTACAGTTACTACAGACTGCTGTGCTTTTAGATGATCAACCATTTCTCCTGAGTGCTTCAAGGGGCATAACTGGGAGCAGAATTAGCCAAATAAGTATCTTCTCAGCATCAAATGTTCCTGCACAGCTTTAGCTCTCATCCAAAGTAAAGCCATTTTCATGACAAATGCTAGCTGAAGTTCTGTCTGCATTTTTACAAGCAAAAATCTCCACTGCACGTCCCATGTGCTCTGCCATGGCTCCTGGCCACGCTGCCTGAACACATATCCTATGCCAGGAACTGCAACATCCATTTTCAGAACATCCTCTCTAAACAGCTCACCTGCAGCCACCACAAAGCCAGAAGCGACTGATAGAGCATAAGGAATTGTGGCTGGGAACTTCAGAATTTCTTTCTTCTCTTCTCCTTCCTTTTTAGAAATGCCAGAAACAAGGAAAATTCGGAAAGTCACTGCTTATGAATCCTGAGGAAATCTCAGCTTGCACTGTCTGCCTCACAGACATCATAAAGTGTTTCAGCTTTGTTGTCAGATAGAGGCTCTTTGTAACTCATTGGCTATACAACCCAACAAAAGCAAGCCAGCCTTCAGTCAGGAGTGAAAAGGTATATTTGGCTTGGTCCTTTTGAATTCTGTGGAACAAACTGCCTGAATCAGGTGAGCAGAATCAAATCAAAGCTTTTCTCTAATTAACATCAGCGAAGAACAGTCATTCTATCTTAGTCTAAGTTGTCCCAGGCTGACTTAACCTCAGTGAAGATTAGCACAACTGATAGAGAAAAAGGGGAAATAGTTCAGAGAGATATATATGGAAAAAAAAACTCATAGTGAAGTAGTTTAAGAATATAAATGTAATGATTGGTTTTCAATTCTTTGCTGTGCTATAGATCTGCATTTACTCCAGAGTACAGCCTAGTCCACGAGAATAGGCTCTGGAGAATCATGTATCAAGCTTACTACTATGTGAGTGGAAGAAATTATGCCAGAAAAAAAGCAACAATAAAGGCCCCTCCTTTAGACTTAAATCAGCCACTCTGATTTAAAGTCTGGATTAAAATAAGGTTTTCAATTAATCCAATGTATGTTTTTCTACCCTCTGACCTCAAATTTATGAATAATTCTTATTGGGTATCATAACCATTGAAAAAGACATGTATTTCAGTGACATATATGGCACACATCCTTTTATCTTTTTGCCTATGGTGGCAAAAGATGGTTTTCATTCCATTTCCTAAGCGCAATTTACAACTGCAATTTCTAAGTGGTCCAGATGATACAGTCTCCTGCACTTCAGAACCATGTTTCACCAGTCTCATTAGCTATTAATTATCACTCTGCATATAAGGTCATGACCAGCTCAGCTGGCTTGGTTCTCTGCTGCTTTACACTGGCATTTATCAGGAGCGAGCCAACTCCATAATCCTCAAAGGGTAAGTACGAAATTCATCTGAGATCAGCTTCTTCTACCAAGCCTTTTCTAGAGCTGTCAAGGACTGAGCAATGAAAAAATCCTTAGAGGCTTTGGGCCAACAGGAGTCTTTTTTTCTCTTCTAATTTTGTTTCCCTTTTTGGAGGTTAAGGGGTTTTGTTTGGCTTTAGGTTGTTGCTTTGTTGTTGCTCTTGTTTTGGGATTTGTTCTCTTCAGGGTATTTTAGAGCCATACGGCATCCATCTAAAACAAGTTTGGAGTCAAGAGACCAGGACTGCTTTCAGATAAGGACCTCCAGGCACTTCTAGAGCAGGCATTATTTCCTGTATACAAATAGCAGGGTTTTAAACCCAGAGTTCAGTATGAAACCTTTACAGGTTTAACCAGTTTACCAAGAAAGCAACTAGCACTATTTCTCACAAATTTTGAGATGGATCCCACCTAGGGGATTTATCCCAACTGGATAAAGGGTAAATGTTGTCTGAACAGCATTATAAGCTCCCAGGATGCCAGGCTGGACAGCAAGAGGAAAAGAATAAGATTCCAGCAGGTTTGCCATAGTTTCAAGATACACTAATGAAATCTCAGTCACCAGTACCATAAAACAGCCATTGACTCTTGCCATAGACACAGATTACAAAATAAATAGGAGCTATTCAAATTCTAAGGTTCTCATGCTAAATAAACACAACTGTGCCTTTTGCCTTCAAGTAAGTCATCTAATGGACACAGTTTAATTCACGAAGCTGTTTTAAACATTCCCCACTAATGAACAGCATGTTACATTTATAATATCAGAATACTTGCTCCTTTATTCACTCACTTTCAGAATTCAGTAGGGGGTGGCAAATATGCCTTTTTATCAGGTTATAAAAAAGAAAACAGAAAACCCAAGAGATCACGCTAGCAGTTTATAGTAAAAAACTGTGCTGCCTCCTTAAATAAATTGCTCTGGCATAACTGTTCAGTTCTATCATTAATTCAAAGTTACAGTTTCCTAGTACTATTGACTTTTTGTGTGATGTAGCTCCTTTAGCACATAATTGCCTGCAATTAACCTTCTTTAAACAAATGTTAACATCAGAGACATGAGCATTTAAAGGCAGTATCTGCAGTACCCTTTGCTTCCTCCAGTTAGAGCACAGCAAACGTTCCCACGCAGACAAGCCGTGCGTGTCCCAGCTGTACCATTCGGGAGTGTGGAATGGGTTCCCTGCACTGTTTCTTCCACTGATAAAAATAAGCCTAAAAACCAGTGCCTTTTACCCTGGCCCAACAGAACAAGCTGCTTCTCAGTAGAAAGAAGGGCACATAACAAGGTGCAGACTTAGGATGAAGCAGTCAGCTTTGACTTTCAGAAGCATCTCCTAGTTGGGAGTACAGAAGATAAAGCACTCTAGCATTACTTGGGATAAATGTTAAAATCACAGTTTAACAAAAAAGTGCAGCAAACAGAAAATAATGCCCCTAAACCTACGTTTGCTGACCGTTAAAGTGCACTTTCACCTTGCCCTCCTCACTCTCAGTCTTGACTGGAAGGGTGAGTGAGGGCTGCTCTCATCAGAAAGGTGTTAAGCTGTTTAAGTCTGTCACAAGTATACTATTAACTGCTGTGAAGATCAAAGCACCTTTTTAACTCCTGGAGACAAGTG